ATAGGTCAGAAAATGTCTGCTACACTGGGTTTTCACATTCTCTCTGAAATATCCACCTATTCCAGTGTCTCTCACTGTACTGTTTCCCTCCTGTTCCCATCCCCACCACTCTCAAACCATCTATAAAATCTATATTTCTCCTTCCCAGAGATATCCATGTGCCCACCCCACACACCCCTCCTCTTTATCTAACCTCTCTGGGTCTGTGGATTGTATCATGGTTATGGTTATCTGTTACTCAACAGCTAATATTCAGTTATATGTGACTCCATATCATGTTTGTCTCTTTGGGGACTGGGTTGCCTTGCTTGGGATTTTTTGTTTGTTTGTTTCTAGTTTCATCTACTTGCCTGAAAATTTCATGATGTCATTTTTTTCCTAATAACTGAGTAATACTCCGTTGTGTAAATTTACCCCATTTTTAAATTTATTGTTTTTGGGGGGTCAGTGTGGTGTGAAAAGCTTACAGACTATAAATAAATAGTTATTTCCTATTAATAAGGGAGTAATTTTATTTTATAGATGAGAAAATTAAGAAACAGGGAGATTTAAAAACCAGCAATGACTAACTTTACAGCCTTGGTACCTAATTTCCCTTAAAAAATAAAGAAATAATAAAAAGGAAAATGGAGAGGTTTCCTGGGCCAACTAAAGTCTCAGCAGGTTAATGTATTTGCCACATAATCCTAATGGCTTTAGTTTGATCCCTGAGATCCACACTGTAGAATGAGAGAAAAGATTCCCACAAGTTATCCTCTCATTTCCACATGTATACTATGGTATTGATACATATATACACACACTAAATAAATTAATGTGATTGTAAAAGTGAATGTCTTCCTGGCTTGAGAGAATGGTTCTGTATATGAAGTACTTGGCTTTTAAGTAGAAGGATCTGATTTGATTTTCACAACTATTATAGAAACACTGGGCATGTTGATATATTGAAAAGAGAATTCTAGTCTGACCTTATAGGAACCCAGAAATGTAGGAGGATTGCAGAGAGAAGGAATAAGAAAGATCTTAATTGTGGCTTTGTGTACTGTGGTTAATTCAAACCAGATGAAAGGCTTCTAGGAGGGGTTTAATAAATTAACAAGCTCTCCTCTAATGCCTGACACTCAGTGAATGATAATACATTTTTTCCCGTTGTTATTACTGCAGTATTGTATGGACTACTGAGATTCATCATTTCCAGATAAGAAGTGGGCACCCTTTCCTGACCAAACCAGCCTCCTCACCAGCCTCTGTATTGTCTATCAAAGTTCAGACATATCTCGCACACCACTCCCGTACATTTCTTAGGTTGGAATTAGTCTCTTTTGGAGATCAGTCAGCAGTGTCCCCATGCTCACATCACTGTACTGGTCAAATTTTCTAGGTAGCTTTTACAGGGTTACTGAATGTTCAATATTCTCAAGAGTCACCTATAGAGCTTTGTGAAAACTCCCATTTAGTTCCCAATGGATAACATAATGTCAGAGCTTTAGCAAGTGGAGTTTTAAACTGCCAGTATCCTCCATCCTTCACTTGAGAAGGAACTTGTAAGCTTTGGTCATTTCTACTCCCTTATGCATGTACAGCATATTGTAATCTTGGGTGCAATTGCATTATTGCTAATGCTGCTTAGAATTGTTAACAGTCACCACAGGCCTACTATCCTGTCCCTTACAATGAGGCTAATTTCATCTTTATTATATTTTTAATTATATGGACCCTTTGGCATATGAGCTGCTGTGGGAATAACTCCAATGGGTGCTCTGTTTCTGTTGGATGTTTTGGGACGAGTGGTTTGCATAGGCTCCACTTCCTTCCTTTATCCAGGATGCTCTTTTTGCCATGGACTCCATGACTTAATGACCTTTGTTATATTGGAGCTTGTTGCTGGGTAGGAGGAAAACCAACCTTTGGGAATGTCCTAAGACACTGCCCAGAAAAGTCATATGGGTGACTCTTACACATAATCTCCTCCACCTAGTAATGCCATTGTATTTGGCACTCTACCCTAGAGGACTTGTATTTTCCAGTTATTGACATCTCTGCTTGAAGTGGAACGGGGTATTGAAGGTAGGGTTCAATCCCAGACACAAGCAAAACTAAGGTCTTGTACATTCATCACGTTTATCTTGAGCATTGACAATGTGGATGAAAAGTACATTTCCCAAGCCTCAAGGAGTTTCAGTCAAATGCAAGAGACAGGCATGGAAAATTAAAAGTAGTGCTTTACTGTGTTCTGCATGAGTGAATGAGATAGCTCAGTTCAGGAGTTACAGTCCATCCTGAGGCAGAGAGGAGGTGCCTCCTTATGTGGCAGTGGCTTTCAAGGGAGGAAAAGTACAAAGAAAGGGAGCATGAGGTGAGCAGTAGAAGTCATGCAGATCCTGGGATGAGCTGATGATAATACATGTATTTCCTTCCCATTCTTTACACTCTTTACCCCAAATGTTCCTTCATTTTCTATCCTTTTTGTAAATTCAAACTCATTCACATGCCTTTTTTACAATTAATTGAAGATTTGAACTTAATTGATTATGAATTAAGTTGGGGACTTGGGGTGGCATTCAGGACTGAGCTCCTGTGGAGATTAATTTATTCCTGTAGTTTCATAGTTTTGCAGTGCATCCAAGTGTCTCACATCTGTGTTAAAAATAAAACTCAGAGTCAGGGCAATCTAATTAGATGGCTTAACCCAACACTGTGGCTCTCAGTCTTCACCAAGCTCTGCTGCTTTGATGGTTACCAAAATAGATGGATAAGTTAATCAAAGGTCTGATTAAATAGCACAGCTATGCGGCATGAAGTTGTGATTTCCAGGCTTCAGTTCAGGCAGAATCTCTGGGAAAGAAAGAAATGGAGCTGAGTTCCAAAGGCTAGGGATTATGTGAGGAAGAGTTTTATAAAGCACTTTGTGGGGAATTGCTTGCTGAGGTCTTAAATCTTAAGGTGATGGCTACCTGGGAAGCTAACTCGCAGAGAAGGGTGGGGTAGGTTATGATGACCCAGACTCACATCCAAACGCAGAAAAAGAACTAGATCCTTTCTCAGGCAGATTCTTGGTTTGGCTGTGTGGTGGTGTGCATGTATATGCATGCATTTGGAAGCCAGAAGTTGATGTGAGGTGTCTTCCTCATTTGTTTTCCACCTTACTTTTTGAAGAATGCTCTATCTGAACTGGGAACTCACCAATTCACTTAGACTGGCTGGTCAGTGAGGTCTACCGATCCATTTATGTCTGTGCTTCCTTTTCAGCACTGAAATTACAGAAGTATGCCTTTTCTCTGGGTTATTAGGATCCAAATACAGGTCCTCCTGACTCCCCAGCAAGTACTTTACTCAGTGAGCTATCTTCCGAACCCCTCTTTCAGCAGGTTCTAACTATAGGTTTACATCATGCGTGCTATAGAGTGGGTTGGGAGTTGGATGGTTACTCTACTCCTTTATTGCCCTCCATTCATCTAACCTAACTTTGCATTTTGCCCCTATAATCTTTAAATTATTATGTTTTACTCTGACCAGGTTTTAATTTCTCTTCTTGCTCAACACTATGGCTATGCCTTGGTACTCCCCCCTCTTGCTTTCCACACACTTGGCCCTTTTTACTTACCTGGTTTCTGTAGTTGCTGCAGGTTATATAGTCACCTCTGAAGTTTTGCAACTAGGAACCTCAGATGTTTTTCTTAGTTTGGGTTACTTGTTTAGTATATATTTTCCTAGTTCCATACATTTTCCTTCAAATTTTGTCATTTTATTTTCTTTATATGTTCCACATTTTCGTTAACCATTTGTCAGCTGAAGGGCATTTAGGTTGTTTCAGTTCCTCAGCTATTGTGAATAGAGCAGCAGTAAGATTGGGCTCTCACTCTGTAGCTCAGACTAGCCTTGATCTATCACCAATCCTCAGGCCTTTGCCTCATAGGTTCTATGAATATAGGTGAGAGTCACCCACACCCAACTCCTACTTACTTCCTTAAAGGCCAGTGTCTTGTAAAGGCAGTTACTAGGATAAAAGAGGTGCGTGTTGTTTGGAATTCTGAGGTGGATGATTAGAAGGTGTATGTTAATCTGTTAAATTAAAATGTGGGCCTTGAGTTCCATGGAATTTCTCCACATACATGCCCCACGCCATTCTTCCCACAATGGTCTTCACATAGATATGGATTGTTTCCCCACTGAATGGACCTCAGCGTTTTGATAGCAAGTATTATGAAAGTGTGTGCATATAGCTGACACCACTTACTTTGGGGACAGTGGTTGTTCCTGTCATCTGAGCCCTGCATTCTTGAGGTTTTTCATCTAACTGTACCCTCCCTTACTATCAGATGACCAGCATTATACAGATGCTGACTGGGTCCTTATTTCTATGAGGATGAAGAGGAGGCCCAGGTACCAATTGAACCCATTATAACTTTAAAGTAGACATAGGTATAGGCATTAAAAATGCAACAAGGTATAGCAGTCTCTAATTGCACATAAGAATTAAGAAGATAATTCTACCTATGAACAACAAGGTATAGCAATCTCTAATGGCACATAAGAATTAAGAAGATAATTCTACCTATGAACAATGAGGTGCTAGTTTTGGGGGGGGCTTGGTTTTCTGTTGTTTTTGTTTTGCTTCTGCATATTTATTTTTCTTCAATGGACCCATGTAATTTCTCTAATAATAAAAAAGTCTATTTTCAAAATCTCAGCATAGAATTTAAATTTAAAAAGTACTTTACAGCTATTATTTTATCCCGTCTTGAGTCAAATACATTACCAGATAAACGATGTGGCAAAATGAAATAGACAAATCTTTAAAGAAAAGTCATTTATATATTTAAAAAGTTTGTAAATTTGCATTTTATTTCTGTCTCTGCATGGTTTATAATGTTTAAGCAAAGAATCCATGTGGTGATTTTTTTTTCCTTTTTCTTATTTTACCAATTCTTTCTCTCCCTCTCTTTTCTTCTCTTTCTCCCTCTCCCTCTCTCTTTTTCCCTCTATTCTGTCCTGTCCAGTCTGAAGTGTCCTGGATCCCCAACAAACATTACTCTGGGATTTATGGCCTGATGAAGCTGGTTCTGACCAAGACTCTACCTGCCAACCTGGAGAGAGTCATTGTCCTAGACACTGACATTACCTTTGCAACTGACATTGCAGAGCTATGGGCCGTGTTCCATAAGTTCAAAGGTAGGAGTTAAACAAGACAACCATGCTGATGTTTTTAAAGGTATTTTATTTATTAGTGTGTGTGTGTGTGTGTGTGTGTGTGTGTGTGTGTGTGTACACGTCCACAGTTACATATGCCATAGAGTTCATCTGGAGGTCAGTACAAATTTTGAGAGTCAGTTCTCTCCTTCCTCTCGTAATGGCAGGGTTTGAATTCAGGTGGCCAGACTTGCAAATCTAGCAGTTTAACTCGTGGAGCTATCTTCTGAGGCAGTGTTTGTTTGTTTGCTTGTTTGTTTTTAATATGGTCCTGGGGATTGAATTTCGGGCCTTATATGTAGCAGGGAAGCGTGCTACCACTGAACAATAGACTGGATATGAGCTTAACGATAACATCAATAAGAAATCACACACATAAAAGTCAACTCTACTCTAATTTCAAACTAGTTAAAGTAACACTGAATTTTGCATTTATTCGGGGATTGAAGAGATTGGATGAATTTTCATTGAAAATCCCAGTTTAGGAGATTTCGTAGTCAGCAAATAATTAGCTAGGGATATCTTTATGCACGTGATCAAACGTTGATATACCTTTTTGTATGTGTGTTTTTAATTTTTTTTCCTTTTATTGAAAAAATATTGTTAATTTTTAATTTTTTCTGATATAATATATTCAGATTACACTTTCCTCTATGTCTACTCCTACCAATTCCTTCCCACGTTTCATCCAGATTTATCCCCCTTTTCCATCTCTATTAGAAAGCAATCGGCTTCAAAGAGATAACAATATAATAAAATCTAATACAGTAAGATCAAACAAAAACTAACACATTTGAGTAGGACAATACAAACCTGCAGAAGGAAAAGGCTCAAAAAATGCAGAGACCCAATTGATAATACACTTAGGAATTCTATAAAAACAAAAAGCTAGAAGGCATGATAAATAAAATAAAAATATAAAAACAAGCAAAAAAAAAAACAGTTTTGATACAGCCTTATAAGAAAAGAAACATCCTTTGAGTTTGTTTTCTGTTGGCTATGTAGTACTTGGCACATGGCCTAGCTTTAAATGTAGTTTGCTTCCCCAGTGAGACTCCGTTAGATAAAACAAAACTTTGATTTTCAAGTGGTTATCAATTGGGATGGAGACTGGGTTAGGCCTGGGATGGGGCAGGTGTCCACTTCACCTTTCAGCTTGAAGACTCCATTGCAGACACTGCGGTCTGTGTGCATACTGCTTCATATGCGAATTCATCCAGTGGATTTAGAGAACCTTCTTTTTTCCTTGCTTTCCTCTTCCCCTCTTCTTTGGCTCTTACATTCTTTCCCCCACCTCTTCAACAGGATTCTCTGAGCCCTAAGGGGAAGGATTTGATAGTGATATTCCATTTAGGACTCTACTTTTTCCCCATCTGCTGCAGGAGGAAGTTTCTTTGATGATAGCTGAGCTCAGTGATCTGTGAGTATAGCAAAATGTCTTCAGGACTCATTTTGTTATTTTGTTCTTTTAGTATAACAATAATATTTGATTTTACCCTCAGTCGCTGTGCTTATCTAATGTTAGGTTCTTAGTCACCAAAACAGCATCCGATATGGATTCCATCTCGTGGAGTGAACCCAAGTCAAATAAGATACAGATTAGATTTATTCCCACAAGATTTGTTCTTTCAAGTCACTAACATTTGAAGGCAGGACACTAGGATTAAAGGGTTTGAAAGTGGATAGGTATTTACATTTCTCTTTGGGTAGTGTGCCTTCCTGCACCAAAGACACTAGCCCATTGGGGTGAAGGCTCTGTGTGGCACTTGCTCTGTTTCTCCATGTCCATGTTCAGTGAGTTCAGTAGGTTCTAGCTGTCAGTTTGAGAAGAATACCTATAGTCTTGACCACAGTCTGGGTTGTCTGGGGCTTCCCATGGGGCCCCTTTTGCTAACAGCACAGTTAGATTTAACCCATTTCTGGTGCTGGATGCTTCATTTGGTGAGAAAATATGGCCAGTTGTTGCTCTATCTTCCCCATTCTTTGGCTTCAGGTATTTCAGGAAGCTTCTTTTGTTTGATTTCCATTCTAACCTTGAAATGACCTTTGGATTTTTTTTAACTGTGTCTTTCTGTATTCTCTCCCTCATCCCCTTTTCCCTTCCCACTTGATCCTCCCATTCCTATTCTGAAATATATATATATATATGTGTGTGTGTGTGTGTGTGTGTGTGTGTATTTAATATTCTTCTTCCTCTTTGTTTCTTTATTTCCTTCTTTTTCCTCTTTTCTCTTTCTCTCTCTATCTATCTCTCTCTCAATAAATAAATGATGCTTTTTTGCTGAGAAAACCTGGGAGGCTATAGTAAAGGCTATTAATTTTGTGGTGTTTGAAATGTTATAGAACAGCTTTTGCTGTCTCTAGTACTATGGACTATTATTTTTAAGAGTGTATGTAAGGCTGGATTTGTAGCATTGCTCTTCTGGCCTGGTTATTTTCTTATTGCTTTCATAAATGTGTGAGGTCCCTATACATGAGTGTTCAGATAGACACACCTGGACTTGCACAGGGGAAGTTCACAGTAGGACATCAGGTGTTTTCTATCATTTTCCACTTTATTACCATGAGGAAGGGTCCTTTTTGAATATGAAACTTGCTTTTCTGTTAGGATATCTGACCAGTGAGTTTTCAGCATCTGTCTCTACCCCTGAATATCGGAGTTGCCGGTATATGTATTTATGCCTAGTTTTTAAGTGGGTGCTGAGGATTCAAACTTAAGTCGTCTTCTGTAGAGAACATGTGCTCTTACCCACGTTGCCATTTCCCCAGACCCTCTTCTTAAATGTTTGAGCTGTCATCATTACTTCAGAGAATATCAGATGGTCTAAAGTCGAGTCATGAGCCTGATATGTGTATCTGAGTTTGCATACATAAGAGAAATATCACATTAGCACAGATGTTGGACTATTCTAATAGCATCCGCCCAAGGGTCTTCCTTACAGTTACCTAGTTTTTAACCTTCTTCTACACCATGGCCAAATTCAGTGAGAGAGAAGCTTGGTAGTGAGGCTGATATACTTTACTTCTTTGTTCTATTTCTTTTTTGAGTTACACTTTGTTTAACATCTCTCTGCCTCTTCTCTTGGCTGTTCACAATATTCTCATTAATTATGGAGTATTCCTATTGGTTTCTCTTTCTTCTCATGATAGAGAGTAAATTTCTTCTCTACTCTGTTTATTTCCTGCTCCTTCTGGGGGCTTCATAGTTCTCTGTTATTTGAACTAAGTACTTGGCAAAGCATTCAGATGACATAGTGACCCCTGGGATTCTCCAAGATATATTTATCAAGATGAAAATATATTTATATGGGCCAATAGGACAGCCCATAGGAAGAGATCATTTGACAGAACTAGGAAAGCAGAAAACAAGTGTGTCTTTTCCTTCTACTTCCCGAATAAGCTTCTATGGGTACAGGGTTTTACTCAAGAGCAAAATCAGAAAAGGAATGCACCTTGGCTCCTGCCTGCTATTCTCTTCAAATTCCAGTCATTTTTGTTTATTCCTCCTTTCAAAGCCACATTGAGCTCATCTGGGGACAATTTCTCTTTAATTGTGTGTGAATTGATCTGTGCTTTTATGCTGATGTTCTGTGTTTAATGGTGCATTTATTCTGCAGGCATTATTGCATCCCTACTGGGTGCCAAGCAGTGTGCCCAGCTCTAGAAATAAGATAGTGAGTAATAAAGGGACAATGAGAGTTGTCTTCTATCCTGGTGGAAAGTAGAGAAGTCGGCTAGAGAGTCTTGCAGAGATGAGATCCGTGCTGCGCAATTGGATAGGGGGATGCTTGTGGGCTGCACTAGCCCACCACTCCTCTTTTGGAAAACTTAGGGCTTCTACATGTTTGACTCTGTCTATATAGAGAGCCAGGCATCAGCTATCTCTGAGGACAGCCTGAGATGAAGAGACTCATGTTGCCTATGACCAAATGCCATTACTGGGTTGTACTTGTCCTAAATTAACCGACTAAAAGTGGGATCCATTGGAGTACTCCTTGGAGACTGCCTCAGGCCTGGTCTTCACAATCTTACTTTTTGCCCCTCTCTTTCACTTGCCTCACTGACAAACCCCTGCTGTGCTAACTTCCTTATCATCCTCTCAACAACATAATCCACCCACATCAGGAGTTCTGAGTTTCCTTTAGCGAAGAGAAACTCAGCAGATACAGTGGAGCAGGAGTCCTCCAATGGCCAAGCTATAGCCGAGCGCTCACAATTACTGTGTTCCAGGCACTGTGTTGCTTACTCAAAGCACTGAAGCCAAGAATGCTAAAAAGGAAGAAAGGTGGTGGGACTCTGTACCTCACAGTAATAGTTGGAGATCTCAGAACTGGAGAGTACAGAGCCTGAACACAGAGTACTTAGTCAAGCTCAGGACAGGGACAGGGACTGAGGAATACCCTTGAATCTAGCTGAGTTAGTGGGCTATGTTTATTTATTCTTTTATGAGTTTATTTCCAGTATTACTTGGCCATCTGTTGTACAAAGGAGTATATTAGATCCCACTGTTCCCTAAAAGACTGAGCTTCCAAGGTCCCAATGAGGAGCAGGAGGGAGAACATGAGCAAGGAAGTCAGGACCACAAGGGGTGCACCCACCCACTGAGACAGTGGGGCTGATCTATTGGGAGCTCACCAAGGCCAGCTGAACTGTGACTGAAAAAGCATGGGATAAAACCGGAATCTCTGAACATGGCGAACAATGAGGGCTGATGAGAAGCCAAGGACGATGGTGCGGGGTTTTGATCCTACTTAATGTTCTGGCTTTGTGGGAGCCTAGCCAGTTTGGATGTTCACCTTCCTAGACATGGACGGAGGGGGGAGGACCTTGGACTTTCCACAGGGCAGGGAACCCTGACTGCTCTTTGGACTGGAGGGGGGGGGGAGGAGTGGTGGGAGGGGGAGAAGGTTGGGAGGAGGGGGAGGGAAATGGGAGGCTGGGAGGAGATGGAAACTTTTTTTTCCCTTTTTTTTCAATAAAAT